AAAGGTTAACTTTGAGTGGCTGCAGAATATCTTGGAAAAATATGACTATTGTTGGTTCCTTATCCTATCTTGAAGTGCTGAAACTCAAATACCATGCCTTCGAAGGCCCTGTTTGGGAATCAAACGATGGGGAATTTCGTCGATTAAAATTGCTGCTCATACATATGACTGATCTGGAGCAATGGAAAGTTGATGAAACGCACTTCCCAAGCCTTGAGCGCCTTACTCTTAACTACTGCTACAACCTGGTGGAGATACCTTCTGGAATTGGGAAAATTCCAACTCTTCAAGAAATCGAGTTATGTGAATGTAGCACATCTGTTGTGACTTCAGCACAGGTCATACAAGAAGAACAAAAGGACTTCGGAAACTATGAATTTCAGGTTCTTCTCTTCCTTCTATGTCTAAGACTTTACAGTCAATGTTGTAACTGAGGTAGTATAATAACATAACTGGAAATCTACTTAATGTAGTTATGGCTGCAGCCTTACAGAGGCTCCTTTACTTGACTGGAAATCTATTAATAGTTGAGTTTACCAAATATGAAGTTGGCAAAATCTTTTAGAGAAAATCGAAATAAGTGAAATAGAAATTTTTAATATTCTGGTTAAAATTTAGAGTGTCTATTCAAAATTGGGAGAATATAAAGATAGATTCTTGAAATTATGATACCAATTAGCCATACATTTTCCCTATCATATATCTCTAAGCTAATACAGTCATTGTTTGGAGCTTCACTGATAGGTTGTGCTGAAAGACAAGGATATTGATGTTTCTAGCTAACAAAGTGGAAAAGAAGACTAAGTTGCACTATTGTTTCAAGTGTTTTATTGAGATTCTGTTGTTGATGTACCTTATTTTCACACTGGATGTCAAAAATAAATGAACATTGGACATGTATTTTTGAAGTGTTTCATTGTAGTATTTTGATTGCAATCAGCAGCAGTTACTTCTTTGTTGTGGATCCTTACACTTTGTTTCTTTTGAAATTGACTGCTCAAAGTCATTGTATAGCATTATTTGTTATGATAAATATCCGTCTTATATTATCTTGTATTGTTATTCGTCAAGGCTTATTTGAAGTTATGTTATTGCATGGTTACGGTAAGTGTGCTGGACATCATTATTGTACGCTCCGGCCGTTGATCCAAAAAATAAATAAGTACTGGTTTTAAAAAGTTCAAATAATCAATAAAAAACACAAGTCAAATTTTTTATGTTATTATATTTTGAGAATCTAATTAAATTAGAAAAAAGGATTACATCTCAACCCGTGCTTTTTATTTCATTCTCTAAGAAATTGAACGAGAAACACCAATCAATTAGAAAGACTCAATCCTTTGATCAAATTCACTGCTTCAAACCGATCAATTTTCCCCCGTGTTCTTCAGGAGCAACTATGCTGATGGGTACAACCCTCAGACAGACACTTCTCGTTACTATGGCTTGAGTTGAGGCTCATGAGAAAACGGGACTTGTGTTTAGCCAATAATGCTACCTATCCCAAGTACTATGATCCATTTCCATTTCGGTACTGCTCAAATAAGGTACAACGCCTAAACCAATCTACTGCTTATGTAGCTATCATGGGGACTCCATTGGACCTCTACAATTAAAGCTCCATTAATTGGACATTGTCTAGTTTAATTATTAGTGTATGCTCATTCTATAAAGATGCGAGATTGAAATCTTAAATTAAATATAATCCCATAAGCTTATATTTGGCCAATGTTTTACCCCGTCAGAGATCCAATAATATACTATATTTACTTAATAATTCATACCATTAGTCAATTACACAATTTTAAAGTTTTTGAAATGCAAAATTTAGAAAATTTTTCATAGTTTCAATTTTCAGCTAGACAAGTCACACTTATAGATTTATAGGAACTTCATACATGTTTTTGGAGTTTGAAACAAAATAATGAGTCGCAAGATCATAGCTTAAATCTTATTTAATTATTTATATAAAGCTATTTTTAACTTTTGTACCGATAAAATCTTTTAGAAACTTAAAATTAAAGTCAAATGAAAAGGGGTTTTTTTTTATCTAAAAAAAAAAAAAATTATACCCTATTTGGCCCCCATTATTTGAGATTATAATTTTTGGAATAATATTTCTTTTTTTAGAATGAGTGATTAAAAAAGACTGATTTTTTTTAATTTACGTATAATATTATTTTATTAGATAATGTATAGTTGAAAAAGAAGAGAGATAAAAATATATTATAATTTTAATAGGAACCAAATGAGAGCTTAATAAGTTAAAGTCAGATGGAAGAATTTTAAAAAATATATAAATAAATAAATAAGCGTAATTAGCACAGAACGTCCCAACATTTTACTACTAGTTTAGAAACGTCCTTAACTTTTATTTTTTTTAGCATTTTCACCATTATTTTCATTTTTCATTGCACAAAAGGTCATTTTCATCCATTTTCTCAATTAAATATTATGAAATGATGAATATATCCTTATCTTTAAATAAAACAAAAATAAAAAGAAAACAATTAATTGCAAACATAGTCATAATTTTTTTTAAAAGAGCAAATGAGTCTCAAATAAATTATTAAAAAGGTAATTAGTACATAATGTCCCTACCTTTTACGATTATTGCGAAAACCATCCTATTTTACCTTTTTTGATATTTTCACCCTTAATTATACATTTGATTGCGCAAATCATCTTTTCTGTCAATTTTCATTCAATTTCTCAACAAAGAGCTATGAAATAGTAAATATACTCTCATATTTAAAAAATAAAAACGAGTCTCAAATAAATTATTAAAAAGTTGGAAATTAATTTTTTTTTTAAAAAAAGTGAAAACGAGCCCCAAATAAATTATTGAAAATTAGAAAGTGTAAACAAGTTCCAAATAAATTATTAAAAAAATTAGAAATTGAATTCTTATTTTTTAAAGTGCGAATGAGTCCGATTAAATTTATTAAAAAATGTAAAAAAAAAAAATTAAAAAGTGAAAACGAATCCCAAATAAATTATTAAAAAAATTAGAAATTAAGAAAAAAATAAGCTTCTTTAATTTTTTTTTCCTTTTTAAATGGGAAGGTATATTCATTATTTCATAACTCTTTATTGAGAAATCAAATGAAAATGAATCGAAAGGATGATTTGTGCAATCAAAGGTATAATTAAGGATGAAAATGCAAATAATAAAATAAAATAAAATGTAGGGCCATTTTCTGGTATAATAGTAAAATGTAGGGATATTATGTGCTAATTACCTTTTTAATAATTTATTTGGGGACTCATTTTGGGATATGGTTGCAATTATTATTATTATTTAAAGAAAAGTGTATATTCATCATTTTACAAATTTTAATTGAGAAAATGAATGAAAATGACATTTTGCACAATGAAATGTAGAAATAAAGGTGAAAATACCAAAAAAAAAAAAAAAAGGAAGATAATGACGTTTTCCACAATAACAGTGAAAGGTCAGGACATTATGTGCTATTTACCCTTAAAAAAAACTAAAAACTGCGTCTAGGGAAGACGAAGGAGAGAAACGAAAAAATTCAACCGTTTAGGAATTGGAAAAAAAAAAAGCATTTTGGGAGCGAAATGAGGTATTTTGCTCGAGCTTCGAGCCTAGGCACCGCCTATCTGAGCTTTTTAGAACCCTGCTAAATACTGAGATCATGTCTAATTGCAATATCGAAAAATTTTAATATGATTTCTTTGACTCGTATTTCATAGCGACGGATTTCGGACATGACTCATTCATCTCAATTTTGCAACACACCGATATATATGACCACATCAGTTGATGTCACATGTTAGCACCTCAATATATTTCCTATATAAATACAGTGTATTGGTTAGTACCTACAAAAGACGCAATGAAGCCCACAGGGCACATCTCCAAGTGGTAAAAGGGGAAGGTGGAAAAACTCCAGCTTTACTTGAGGCTGCCGCGTCAAGGGTTCGAATCCTAAAATATGGATTTGGCCCTTAGGTAAGTATAAGTGTATAAGCAGCCTTCCACCCTACACCCTTTGAGGTATAACCTGCTATTTACCTCATTCACCAAGGCTCAGGACAGGACAGGTGGGAGCCGCTAAGGATGCGGTTCATCCTTTTACAAAAGATGCAATGAAACTGGCTAACAGCTTGTGACAAACAGTGTTATGTTCCCATACAATTTATTCAATTAACAAATAGCAACTCGCTTATAATGGATTCCATTAATTGAATATGAAATCTCAACTTGCTAATTAATATTTAAAATTTTGTTGCTTTCTCGTAAGAGAAGTCTTCTGGTCGCCGGCTTCTTAATTTACCTCAACTTATATTGTTAAATCATGAATATATCACACTACTTACATCAATTGACAATATCGAGTATTACTTTGTGTATGGTGTACCTACCAAAGATACAAAGAAACCGGTGTGCTGTTGTCCCATATTTGCTTTTTTGAAACATTCTCAAATTTTTCACATGCCGTGGTCCACATCCACCATAACTTTTACCAGTTCTGTTGTGCTTACATAGCTACAACAACTTCAATTATAAAACTAAAGGGAATGAATGGTAAAAATAGCATGTCGCATCAAGGAGAGTCTATTTTATTTTTATCAGATCAGCACAAATGTATCAATTTACTTACTTTTGAACGTTCATATGGAGAGCTAAATATATATGGACGATGTTTCAAGCTCTAAAAGTAGAGTTATAGATGAAAATGAGTGCTGAAAACGTGAAAACAGACTTGGGCAAGACGATTCGTGGCTCGAGCTCAAGGATGGTGCCAACCGGGTAGCTTTGGCACCGTTCGAGCTCTAGACTGGAGCTAGCTCTCTGCACAAAATTTCGAGGAGTCGCTCGAGTGGTAAGCTAGCGGCTAGCTAGCGGAAAGCACCATAAATTTCTCCTTAGTCCATATGTTGACATTTTCAAGTCCAATACAAATTTCAAACTCTCAATTAGACTTTTAAATAGAATTTTAAGTAGAATTTGCCAAATAAACTTCGAATAAGATTAAAAAATAGCATTTCAAATAGAATTTTTCTTAAGCCAACTTTAATTAGAATTCTCAATTATCTGCCGAATAGAATTCGGGTGACACTCTAATTCTAACACTATTCAATATGATTCAAACTAGTTATGCTGATATAAACAATGATGCTGACAAAATCTCAATTGCATCCATCATTTTTTCTATTTCTTCTCACTTTTTACCTCCCCTCTCTCTACTTTTTCTTTGGGCACTGGAAACATGGGGCAGATTACGAGGTATCAAGGGAACGCTCACTTAAAGATCAACTCCCCTGCCAAAAGAATTCATAAATAGGATAGGAGAAGGGTCAATGTTCAAACTCGCCACCTGAAGAAATTCACCTAAGGGATAAAAGTGAAGAACACACTGTATAGGCCAAAATGTCCCTCTAGCTATGGGCATATTTATAGAATTAAACTAAATGAACATAATGCTTGACATAAGGATTGACCGACCTCTCACATTGCATTTGGGTCTCGACCTGAATTAAATAATGCCGACCTCCCCATGTGTGTGTTGGGTCATCTCCTATGTCAAACTGATAAAAAAAAAGAAAAAAAATATTATACACACAAACCAATAAAATTTTCTTACTTTTTAACCATAAATTCTCCACCAATCTACTATTTTATAATAGGGTAATTGGTGCAAAACGTTCCTACCTATGATAGGTCTTATGGAAAACGTCTCTACGTATGATTTTTTGGTGCAGGACGTCCTTACCTTTGCATTTTCTTGCTCAAAACGTCCTTTTCGTCTCTTTTTTACCTTTTTACCCTTCCATTAGAATAAAACAAACACAAAAGAAAAGAAAAATAAAGAATAAATTGCAATTATGGGTTCAAACTTTTAAAAAGGTGCAAATTAGTCACAAATATGAAAAAACCATCACCCCTAAACTGCCACCTTTGAAGGTAAAATCCC